AGGTCTCTAGCTTGCGCTGCTGGTCCAGGATGTCTGGGAAGTCTATGAAGAATCGGGAGCACATGTAACGCTCTAAGGTTTTGATCTCATCCTTATCCATGGGCTTGAAGTCTCGTACTAAGAGGTTACTGTACTTCAGAAGCCCACCACCTCGGATCTCTTCAGGATTTTTGGTAGCTATCAGTTTGTTCTGGAGGTGGTCAAAAGCTGCTTCAAAGTCTCCATACATGCTCTCCCCGATCACAGTTGGATGGAAGTGCTCTGACATGGGGGTTTCTGAGTAGTCGTAGTAAAAGAGCAGGGAGTCCAGTATGATTTGGAATGAGTCCACACTGAACTCAAACTGCCGTCGTATACAGTCGACAAACTTCAGCTCCACATTTCTGCCATGCTTGTTGGAAAGTGATATCAAGCTCCAACGGTCAGTCCCTGTGTACACTTTCACAAGCTTTTGGATGTAGGCTTCCTTCAGTGTTACAGGACTGATTTTTAGCTTGCTTACTCCTTCCGGCAAGAAATTCAAGAGGGATCGCAAGACCACATCTCGAACTAACTGAAACTCTGCCTCACTTGGAAGAGAAACTTGAAAAATGAGATCCAGGTCTTTGCATCCCAGCCCGTTATCCTTGACCAGGACATGACCAGCTGCAGAGCCATTCAGACGGGCATCACGTACCACAATGCCTGCTTCACTCAGCCTACTCCGAACTGTCTGAACAATGTCCTTCAGGGTTATCTTCAGCGTTGGGAAGTTACCTCGTCCATGGATTGGAACCACCTCTGTAAGAACCTCATGCAGACGGCTGACCTGCTCCCAGTTCAGTACACTGCATGACATGCAGTCTGCTGTGTTACTTCCTTTGCCTGCCATCTTAAGGCTTTTCTTCTCCAAAGAAACTGTAGGGAGGTAAAATATAAAAAGGAAAAGACAAATCAGACTTTCTGTTTATGCTTCCTAGGCACATTCCTAGGTTCTGTTTTTCTGCCTATTCACACAGACAAATTAGAAGGAAGTAATTCTGTGTACTAATGATTATCAGCAAGCCTTCCACCTGACATGATACATAGCTTCTCTATTGGTGCAAGCAGAAAAAAAATTTAATTGACATTGTTTTTTGGCAAGTTAGAGTTACTTCAGAAAAGCACTTTATATGAAATGGAAATTATCTACAAAGATAACACAAAAGCTTTACCCAAGTTTAAAGTCATCTGCAGCACCAGCTGAAGCCAGATGAGCTGCAAAGCATTTTTGAAAGTAAAGTTTTGAAGTTGTTTCATGATATATGTAAAGCTCAAATTGCTCTCTCCAACTAACACAACAGTAGAAGACACTCAGGTGCTAGTTTCAGGGCTTAGACATCTAGTCCACTGAAAGCACTTAAATTATGCCAGAAATAGAAGATTTCTTCCTTTTCATAAAAGACTTTTCTTTCCGTACCATCCAGCATCTATGTCTTATAGGATAAAGGCCAAGTACATCTTGCTCCTGCAAAAAGCTGCAGCACTTCAGCATCCTGGACAGAACTTCAGCTGCAAAGTCAGGTAACATTCAACTTGGACTCTAGTCTTTGTAAGCAACTCTTTTCTTCAGAGACACTGCCTAACCAAACCACCTCTGGAAATATTCATACCTGCCCCAACTTTTGCTCATTTGTGAAGGGTAAACAAGTTTATAAGAGCCAGCATTATATTCAGATGATGTCTATCAAGTTAGTGTTACTCTTTTAACAATGAGAAGCTCACTAACCAGACTTGATCACAGCCTTACGTGAACATTTAAGCACAAGAGAGTGACCTGCTCAGATGTGGCAAGATTCCTCAAGTTGCTTGTCTTTTACATGTAAGCATGTAGATACTTACATATGTTCTACAGTCATGCAACTCCAACTGGTATTAATACTCTTTTTTTAAGTGTTCCAGGTTTCTATTGTAGCCAGGTGCTTCCTGACAGCTAAAGACTAATTGAAGCCTCACCTTCTTCTGCCCCAAGTACTTGTGAAGACTGCAGCTGCCAAGGTCAGACTAAACAAACTTAAGCAAATTAACTCTTGCCTACCAAGAATGTTTTAAAACCCAACCATATAGTTTCCTAACATGCAACAACATGTTTAAATCAACAACATTTTTTAATCAAGTATCAAAGAATAGCTATTGTCATCTCATGCCTCTCCTCTTCCAGCTTTTAGTTTTTGAGCAGGTCATTTGACCCATCACCATCTCTGCAGGAGAGTCACATCCTAGATCAAATACACAGTAAGGTTAAAATGCTCCTGGGGAACTTTCTTCTGTCCTTGAGTATGAGCTGCTGCATCACGAACTGTGCTGCTTTGGGTTTCATCAGCACCAGCAGGCACAACACAAAAACACTGTGACTCACAAGATGATTAAACTAGGATAAATCAAGAGGATCTCCAAGCTCAATCCTTAATGCTCCAACACAGCATAAACCCAAAGGCATCAAGCCTGCCAGAAGTTTCTCAGACACTTCAAGTGCATTAAAGTATATTTCCATTGTGAACTCCCTGTATTTCCATTATATCCTTCAGATCACTAAAGAACACAAAAGTCTTCTATCTAAAGCTGCAAGTGCTTCCAGCTACTACCTCTGAAAATGTTCCTTCTCCTTTTTCCTGTTTGTAGCCCTCTCTGTGGCTTAGGCAACACACACAGCTCACCCAGTAACCAGAAAGGACTTGGACCAGTGCTTCCCACCCACACACAGTTAGTTCTGCTTGGTGATCCTCACCTAGGAGAATAACGCACATTGCTGCCCTTGGGGGAGGAAGACAAAGTTCTTTCATTTCCAGTTCAGCAGAGAATTTAATTCTCAAGCAGTCAACCTCCAAAGCCTTCCATTCCCAAATCACTCGCATTTACCTACTCAGCAAGGTTTACAGTAGTGACTTCAGTGTATTTGGGATGTTAGTAGTTTACATACTTCTTGTTTCACCACCGACCATTCCCAGCACAAGAAAATCTGACACCTAAAGATACTCATTCCCAGGGAATGAAACCACTATGGAAGCAAGAGACATTAAGTATCTTTACCAGTAAGCGTAAAGAGTGTTAATCAGAGGCAGAAGGAGCAAAGACAACACACCTTCACCTTTGTCACGATGAGGTGTGTTATTCTGCAGCAGCAATTTGCCACTATAAGACATAACTTGACACAACACCCAAAAAAATGCAGGCGCCCGTCCCCTCAGGGTCACAGGTCCCCCTCGGACCCCAGCGGCGCTGAGGGCGGGGAGGTCCGGCTCCCTCCGTGGGACGTTCATCCCTTCACCGGGATTTAACGGAACCCGCGTTCTGCCGTTTTAAATATCAACAACCATTACAGAAGCGTTACCGAGCGCTCGCTCCCAGGACAGCCCGCACACCAGTGACCGTAACCCCGCCCGACCCGCCGGAAGAAGCAGCCCGGAGCCCCGCCTCACCTCAGCCGCGCGCGACCCCAGCGACCGCGCCAGCCCCGCCACTGCCCTGCGCCGCCCTTATGGCCCTTTAATGTGCCGCCGCGCCACGGCCCGCCACCGCGTGGCCCGGCCGCCCGGCCTCCGCACGCACAGGGGCGCTTGCCGCCGACGGTCCGGGCCGGCCGTTCGGCCCGGGGAGCCCCGCGGCGGTCGGGATGGGGAGAGGACGGGGGGTCGCCCGCGCCCTGGAACCCTCAGCCCCCACCTCGGGGACTCGCCCCTCAGCCTCCCCGCACAGGGGGAAACTTTTCAAGGGCCCCTCAGTTCAGGAAGGACATTGAGGTGCTGGAGGGAGTCCAAAGAAGCGCAGTGCAGCTGGTGAAGGGTCTGGAGCACCAATCCTATAAGGACCGGCTGAGAGTTGGGGTTGTTTAGCCTGGAGAAGGGGAGGCTCTCTACTACTACCTGAAAGGAGGTTGTAGCCAGGTGGGGGCGGCCTCTTCTCCCAGGCAACGAGTGACAGGATGAGAGGACATAGTCTTACGTGAGCAAGGGAAAGTTTAGGTTGGACATGAGGAAGAATTTCCTCACAGAAAGGGTGATCAGACATTGGAATGGGCTGCCCAGAGAGATGGCAGAGTCACTGTCTCTGGAGGTGTTTGAGGAAAGACCAGATGTGGCACTTTAGTGCCATGGTCTAGTTGACATGGTGGTGTTCAGTCATAGAGTTAGCCTCGATTATCTCAGAGGTCTTTTCCAATCTAATTGATTCTGTGATTCTGAGATTCAGTGGACTATGATGAAGAGCTGACTGAAACACAGCATGGCTTTCCCAAAAGCACCCCATCCCAAACAGAACAACTGTCAGCATAGGCACCAAATGTCCAAGCTCTGCCAAACAGTTCGCTGTGTTGCCTCACCAGAAACAGCCAAACTAGGAGTTCATACAGAGCCTACAAGGATGTGCTTGCAAGGACATGACAGTGTGCATGTGTTGACACAGTGTGCTACTGGAAATCGCAGCTGATGAGCTGTGGGAGGTTCTGGAGACATGGAGGAGGAGGATGAAACAATTGGACAGAAGCAGCTTGGAGATGCGGCATCATAAAAATCGGCTGGTGTTCAATAGCACAGGGTGCAAGATTGTGCACTCTGGGGGCAAAAGTTATGATTTCTACTGAGAACACAACATTTCAGCAACACAGGGGAGAAAGGACACAAGGTATTTGCCTTTTGTAGGATAATCAAGACCTACTGGGCGGCAGGGGGGAAGCAAAACTTAACCTAGGACAGCCAGCTGACATAATTCTAGTAGAGTTTTAAAAAGTACTTACAAAGCAATGGCAAAACCACCCCCCTACCACCACATCTGTTACACTGTTTGGTCATACACAGTCAAGAAAAATGAGTTAAAACCTGCACGTGCACAGAGAAAAGCTGACCTTGTAAGGGAAAACCGAAAAGTTCTTCTTTGCCTAGCAAACAAAACAGACTTGCCTTGCTGCACCAAGAAAGCCAAAGCTGAGCAGAAATATAGGAGTGGGTTAGTTAATTTAATTATTTATTTTTCTGCAATAGCCAACCATGGGGATAAATAAGAGGAAACAAAAGGAACTATTTAAGTTGAAGTATAACATTGACACAAGACTCAAGGTAAGTTATAATCTTTTTTGTCGGATGAGATAATCATTAATTCAGAGCATCACAGGACGGAGGGAGTGGAATAAAACTAGTTTCAAGACAGAGCTAGAAAAGAAAATATGTAATATGAGTGTCTGTGATGGTACAGAGCTGGATATGAGGATCCAGATCTCTCTCAATATTTTTTCCCTGTGTTTCTAAAATTAGACAGAGAAGTAAGGAACTCAAAGAGAAGTAGTACCAGAAATGAGAGAGGCATAACTGCCAGTAAGGAAATGTCTCACTTGGAGGTTAAAACAGTGAATAATCTCACCTTTTAAGAATATTTCTTCAGCAATATTTCTGCATCAAATATTATTGTCTTATGACAATAACTGATGACTTTGAACAGTATATTTTCTGTTGCCCCACAGGCAAACAGCAATTAAATTCCTTTTTGAAAAAAAAGTAATTAGATACCAATATAGGCAAAGATAAACTGCAGCACATCCTGCTATTACAGACGTTAAAGTGTTAATCAAAGGTTCATACTTCACATTATTTGTTCACAATTTCTTGTTTCACAAAAAAAGTTTGTGAACACAAAGAGGTATTTCAACTCTGTCATAGGGTGTTTTCTGCATCCTCGACTTGCAGACCTTGAGTATCTGTCAGGGGAAGCGCAGCACTCTCTGCAGTAAACTTAGACCTCCAGACCATACACTTGTTCTTTTTAATTGCTTTTCATGGGTCCCACAGAAAGGGTCCAAGGGGTAGGAATTGGAAATGCCATTAAAGCCAACTGGACCAGACTCCTGGGTAAATTGCCAGAATAATGAGGAATGCATCTTTGAGTAATGAACGCCTGGGAGAATGAGCCCATTTACAACTGATGAGAAGCTGCCTTCTGCTATCCATCCACCTGCGTCTGTGCAGTGGATTACAGTGCTGTGAGGATGGAAAACATGGAAATATACAGCCCACTGCTGGGATGAGAGATTAAAAACCATGGGTTACTGCTCAGGTGTTGTGGCTGCCAAGGTGGCTGACGCAGACCCAGACCCAGCTCCAATGTACAGTCTTAATGTCCAACTTCTATTTAGGACTGACTTTCCCTCTGTCAGTTGTAACTCCAAGTCTGGGGAGAAGTAATGGATGATCCCAACCTTTGCAAGCTATCCTTTCTCTAAGAGTGACTGGGATATAGATAAATTCCTGCTACAAGACAGGGAGCAGTGGCAGCCACAGTTCCCCCTCTGCCCTCATATAACTATCATCTCACCCTTCTCTTATAGCTGTTCCATCTCTCATCTCTGTCTGTAGTCCCAGTGTTTCCTCCCAGCTTCATCCCTCCCCTCCTGTCCTGTGGTGTACCCCTCTTCAGGATACACAGCACTGGACCTTTTTCAAAGGGTTTTCAGAAAGAGGATGGGGAATAAAGAAGGACCAGTTGGCTCCTGGGATGGCAGTGTGATGGGGGAAAAGAGTCTCTGAACTGCCAAAATAGAGGCAAGTATGGAGTTTTATTAACACTGTGCAAGTTGTTCATTTTTATCCAGTGAATAGGGCAGCAAATCTGGCAGAAGAAGCCCACTTAAAAGCTTGTAAGTCAGCTCAGTGACCTGGCACTGTCAGATTAGTTTCCTTACGTGATGCATTGCTGAACATAATGTGTCATCATAAATCTTGGTTGCTACAGCTGTTAAAGCCATAAAGTGAAGCAGAGTTATTAATACCCAGTAGTAGTAGCTGTCAGGTTCCATTCTGTAATTGAGCATCAAATCTGCAGTTGTAAAACTCTTCTTTTTTGTCTGACATGTAGAGTAACTGCATGTCTGCAGATGCTTAGAGCGTGGAGACGGTTAGGAACATCCCACCCACACAGGGTTATGATGAAATCTTCCTGCAGAGAATCAAGAGTGAGCTCCTTTCTCTGTTGCTAGCTTCCTCTGTCTTTGAGGTTTCCTGCTGGGAGATGCAGCAATCCTTTCTTCTGATACATGGATGTGGAGTCCAGTATAGATGCACAGACAGTACTAATGCAGGAAGCAGCAGCCTTTCAAAAATCTGAGGTTAAATTTGCTGCTAGAAGTACTGTGACTTCTGGGAATTCCCTGCTCCAAGGGATGAGATGCTACTGTGTAGGACTTCCCAGCTTCCACACAGTTCTGAGCTCAGCAAGAGATGAGAGACACTCTTTCTCCAAGAGGCAAGAAATGTCACCAGGCTCCTTCACCTGCAGGACTCATGCAAAGTGGGAGCTCCAAATTCCTGCTCCATTTACATGCAAGGAGGACACAGAGACCCAGAGTTGCTGTCTCTCACATATGTCTTTTTGAAGTTGTCCCCACCCATTAGCCCTTTCACTACTTTGCTGCATGCCACCTCTGGCAACTTGGGCTATGGGCTGCAGACTCTTCTCACAAATCCTCTGATATACATTCCCCAAACTGCCTAAAAACCTGAAGGAGCAGAGCCACCCTGCTGTGTGATGAAGCACACAGGCCAAATTTTTCAAGGAGGGAAGAGGTGGTTACATCTCTCCCCAGACCCCGACGCTTTTGCTTCCGCAGCAGGAGACTTGGTTTTGCTGATATGGTTGTGCTGTGAGGATGCAGAGTGGGCAGTCCAGAGAAGCCTGGCATTTTCTTTTGCCTTATGAACCAGCAGGGCAGACACATGCAGAGATGAAATGCACTTGCTGGAGCGAGCAGGCAGCAGCCCATCATCTGACTTGTTTTTTCCTTGCACCTGAGCTCGCCCCAACTGCTTAATTAGTCACACGGTTTCCTGGCACCCAGGGGAGAACAAACCATCAAAATTTTAAGTGGTAGAGGAGATGATGGGAGGGAGGCAGAGGCGGGGGGAGAACAAGGGTTTGCTAATCAGACTGAAAAAAATATTTACTCTAATTTGGGAGTCATGAGCAAATTCAGGACACACTGCCTCAGGCTGCAGGTGGTAAACACAACAAAGGGGGGTACAGAGGAACAGCAAAGGTTGTGTAGTGTGAAGCCCTTGGGTACTGATTGGTCTGTGGGCTCTGCCCAATGGACTTTGTACTTTCCCCCACTATAGCTTTTCACTTTGAAATCGCATCTTTTTCACGTTCCTTCTCCATCCATGGCTTTAGGAACTGGTACAGAGAAGTGTCACACAATGACTGTATCAGCCCCTTGGGATTCTGCATCTGCAAGCCCTGCCTGGTTTTTGTTGCAGATGATACTGTTTGTCCCTGCAAATTCACAGATTTGGAGGCTAACAAAGATGATTAACCATCTCTTAGTACTTATATAGTCCCTGGATAATATAATCTCACAGTAAAACTCATAGCCCCTTCAATAACTTGCACTTGTCTGCAGACTTCCTTCAGACTGCTCAAGAGAGGGATAATCTGGTTTTTTGCCATGATATTTTGCTGCAATTGTTATCTGCTTTCACAAGTAAAGGTCCAAACACAGTTTGATTTGGTTTTAATTTCCACCAGTCTTTCTTTTCATTACGGTTTTTTTCACATGCTAGATTATAGGGGCTGTTATTGAAAAGTTGTCTGCATTTTTTAATGCTTTTTCATTAAACCTTTCATTTCTCACTGATGGCAATAGCAACTGGAAAGGGACATTTTGCACAGTTATGTAGCTTAAAATAATCTTCATGGGAGCTGACAGTGACACCCCATCCTCAGATACAGTCAGACCCTTTCCTTTGGGTCAGGTTTATGCAATTTAGAACAGATGCATCCAAAGAGGAGATTTCTCTTTGCCTGGGGCAGCTTGCCAGCTGGGCCGCTGCACAATCACACAGGCACTAGGGTAAGCATGGGAGGAGAAGCAGGATGGCAGCAAACTTGGTGCTATGGACTGGCACTCACAGAAACCTTGGGGCCCATTTGAACTACAAAGAGCCATCTCAATCTGTTCTGTGGGCCACCAGCAGTACATGGAAACTCTACAGCTCTGGAAGCCATTGTCCCACTGTCCATCTCCCAGCAAGACTGACAACTGCTGGCACTGGTTTGCTTGATGTGTCCTTGATGATGGTTCATGGGTAGCACCCCCAACAGCATCTCTGTGGTGGCACATCACTCCTGTAGCAGGACAGCTGCTCTGCAGTCCCCCAGATCCATCTGCCTCTCCTGTGGGAAAGGGATAAAAATCTCCCTTCACAACATGTTTCAGTCTCACCCTATCAAGTCTGAGGGGACTGCCATTCTCACCTCCTCCATGGCTAGTCAGCATCCTGCAAGGATCCAGGAGGCCCTTGCAGATGTTTTTGCAACAGCTCTGCCTACAGCTATCTGTGCTGGAACAATGCTTCCAGTGACAGGTAATTAGGGCTTTCAGGCTCTCCTATCCCATATAGTGAAGACAGGGTAAGGTTCCGTGTCCCACATGGGGAGAGCCTTAGCATAGCCCTTTATAATGAAATCTGACATTTTGCCTCTCTTCAGAAACTTGCGAAGTCTGGCCTATGCTGGGTAAAACTTGCAGCTATGAGATCTCTTTGGACAAAAAGGCTTGAGGACTAAGTGAAGAATTGGGATCTCTGGAGACAAGAAAGAATAGCTAAGTCTGGCAATGCATTGGGTGGTAGTGCCTTGTGCAGGCATTCTGCTAAGAGCTAAGGGAGAGTATCCTTATCTACAAGAGGAAAAGTGAGTGCTCTGTCTCCTTTTGCCATAGACCAGACCTGGATCCTATGATGGGTAGAAAAAAGGTGGCTGCACCTGTGTATTCAGTGGCAAACTTTGGAATCAAAGATTTCCAGAGGATGTGGTGCCTCTTGTCTATGCTGCATTGGATTGTCTACACTGTTTTCTTAATCCAGAGGGTGGTTGGGCACTGGAACAGGCTCCTCAGGGAAGTGGTCACAGTACCGAACCTGACAGAGTTCAAGAAGCGTTTGGACAACGCACTCAGGCACATGGTGTAATTCTTGGGACTGTCCTGTGCAGGGACAGGAGTTGGACTTTGATGATCCTTGTGGGTCTCTTCCAACTCAGCATATTCTATGATTCTGTGGATTTCAGTGCTGTATACAAGTAATAGCTCAGTTAACAGTAAGAGATCAGAATAAAAATCTGGATTTATTTACAGCTCCTGTTTAAGACTTCAAAATCTACTTGTTGCATGAGGGCTATTATAAAACAAAGCAGTGAGGCAGTTTTCAAGCTGGACCAGACATTTGATTTTCAATGGCAAGAACCATTCATGTTTCCAACAAGGCCAACGAGGAATTGTTTGGTCTGGCTTCCAGTTAGGCTACAATGGGAAGTATAACCAGTTCATAAGGTGTGTGACAAAAAAGCTTCACAGGGATGGAAAACCTGTTACATTAAAAAAGGTGCTTGAAGTTTGAGTCCTGAATGAGAAGCTTCCGTCTAGAAAGAGTTACAGTCAAATGCTGTGAGCTTTTGACTGCCCTCCCACTTAGGTAAATGAGACCATGTAACAGACCTTAGCAATAAGCTGATACATTTCCCAGCAAACTTTCCGTGTTCTTGTTTTCCTGTAGGCAAACTCAGCTCAGATGGAGAAATCCTGCTGGCAGTTACCATCCTATAAAGTAGCCAGGGATCAGCAACTGACGGCTCTTCATAGCCCTGCTCTTTGGTTTTAATCTCCAAGCTAGTATTCGCAATCACAAATCTGGATCCCAATGTGGCTTCCATAAGCTTCCCAGATAACTGCTCCTTTTCACACCACGTTTGCCACTTGGCATCACAAGATTTCTCTGAGTAGTAAGGATAGCAGAAATGAGAACTGGAAGTTCAGACACTGGGTTTTCCTGTGGTGCTCACCTCTGATCTGCTTTTATCTATTCAGCCCCCCACTGGAAGTTCCACTGAAGCAAAATCCAGGCACCCATCTCAAAAGAGCAGCCCATCAACTCCACTCGGAAGAAATCAGTTACCAGAAAACCACTCTGAGAGTGTCGAAGAGTTGTTTCTACCCCACCTCCAAAGTAAAAAAAAAAAAAATATATTGAGAGAAAACACACTAACAGTAGCAAATGGAGGCCTCAAAACCACAAAATTAATTTAAAAATAATGGAATTTTAATAACAACATACTGGGAGATTCTTTGATGATATAAAAAAAGGGAGGGGGAGTGCGCCAAGTGCCAAGAGGATGGAGCCAGGCTCTTCTCAGTGCTGCCAGCCTCTAGCACATGAGGCAACGCGCAGAAAATGATGCACAGGAAGTTCCACCTGAATATGAGGAACAACTTCTTTACTGTGCAGGTGACCATGTACTGGAACAGACTGACCAGAGAGGGTGGGGAGTTTCCCTCACTGGAGATATTCAAGAACCATCTGGATGCAATCCTGTGCCATGTGCTCTTGGATGACCCTGCTTGAGCAGGGAGGTTGCACCAGATGACCTGACCCATTCTATGATTCTGTGGGAACTCTGTGATACGTGTTTCCTGAGCATTTGTAAGGAGATGAGGAGGTAGGAGATAACCTGATTTTGAAAAGGACGGAGGAGAGAACTGCACCGGAACGCACAGATGCGTAAGGATTACAAT